GTTCAAGGCATGGTGGTGGAGTTCTCCTGGCTGTTCACCAGGGTTTGTGCTGTATTAGAAAACAGATTTCGAAACTGACTGTGAAATTTTATGGTGCGAGCTTATTGCTACGAAACCTTTTTCAAGAGTCCTGGTAGGGGTATTTTACAGACCTCCTTCGAGCGACATCGACTACTTGAAAGAGTTGGAAAGATCTTTATCGCTTATCGAACGTAGTGGTAATAATCTAAGTATTCTTTTATTGGGTGACTTCAATCTTCCCCAAATTGTCTGGTCTACCCCTTCACCTACGTGTCCTGATAGTTTGTCGTCTACATTCTGCATTATCATTGCGGATTACTTTTTTCACCAGTTGGTACTTCAACCTACCCGCGAGCAAAATATTCTCGATTTGGTTTTCATTACAGCCCCGGAGCTGGTAAAGGATCTGGAAATTTGTCAACCTGTTGGTGGATCTGATCATTGTTCCATTGAATTCAATCTAAAATTACAATTTCAGAGACCAAAACGTAGTTGAAGGCTTGTTTACAACTATCGTGCCGCAGATTGGTTAGGTCTACGTGAAGATTTTTGTAATCTGCAGTGGGACTGTTCATATCTTATGGAGTCTGTGGATGATGTCTGGGATGCTTGGAAATTATTATTTTTCCAGGCTGTTGAACGTAATATTCCATCAAAACAACTTAAACCCCAGCGTAACGCACCATGGTTAAAGGCCGATCTACGGAAATTAATTCGCAGGAAGCGCAGACTATGGAAACAAGCTAAATCCTCTGGGGACCCCGCTAAATGGGTTAAACATAAAAGACTAAGTAACTGCGTGAAAGACCAATTAAACAAGGCCTACTGGAACTATGTCAACGATTTAACAGCTTCATTAAAGACCAACCCCAAAAAATTCTGGTCTTTTGTCAAAGCGCGCACAGGCAAGCGTGGCGAGCTGCATCGAGTACGAGGGACAAAGAGCATATACACCACTCGATAAAGCTAACCTTTTCAACAGTTTCTTCTAGTCTGTTTACATCAAGGCCTCAGAAGCAAGTAATTTCCAGAATCCTAATCAGCTGACCGAACATGTTATAGGAGACTTATCTTGTAGCGTAAAAGAAGTGACGAAACTACTTCAATCAATCGATGTCAATAAAGCATCTGGCCCTGACAATATTTCTCCAAGAGTACTCAAGGAATGTGCTATGGAATTGGCCCTACCCCTGACAATCTTTTTCAACTTCACTTTGTCTCGGGGGAATATTCCAACTGATTGGAAAGTTGCAAATGTTGTGCCAATAATCAAATCTGGCAAAAATAACCTGGCAGACAACTATCGTCCAATCTCATTGACTAGCGTCGTTGTGAAAACGTTAGAGCGCTTGATCCACAAGCACATTATGAAGTATCTGATTGACTTCCAACTGCTTAATGACAATCAGCATGGCTTTAGACCATCAAGATCTTGTGTTACCCAGCTACTGCAATTAGTACATGAGTGGCTTCAGGCCTTGGATAAACTTGGATCTATTGACGCAGTATTTTTGGACTTTGCCAAGGCTTTCGATAAAGTCTCCCACGCCCATCTCATCTACAAATTGGAATGCTATGGTATAAAAGGCCAGATCTTAACTTGGTTAAGGGATTTTTTCACGTCAAGGAAACAGCGTGTAGTGATTGAGGGTCAAGAATCTGACTGGTTAAATGTTACATCTGGTGTGCCCCAAGGCAGTATACTTGGGCCTTTGCTGTTCCTTGTATGCATCAACGATCTTCCTTACTCAGTAACCTGCAACGCTGATTTGTTTGCTGACGATACTGTCCTTCATCGACACATAGCAAATGGATCAGATTGCGATCTACTTCAAGAGGATTTAACATCTGCCTCTGATTGGTGCAAGTCTTGGCTTGTTACCCTTAAGACCCAGAAGTGTGAAGTCCTACACATTACACGGAAGAATGACCCAGTAAGATATCAATATTCGTTGAATCATATCTTACTACCGGAAGTGGACCACCACAAACACCTGGGTCATTGGCTGACGCCGTCTTTATCATGGGATTATCACATTAACTCAATTTGTGCTAAAGCTAACAAGGTCCTGGGCTTGATAAAAAGGACATTTGGTTATTCAAACAAGACTGGTATCAAAACAGCTTTTAAGGCACTAGTGATACCCATCCTCGAGTATGCCTGCCCAGTCTGGAATCCTTATCTGGTGAAACACACCAAGGCAATCGAAGCAATTCAGAGAAGAGCGTCCCGACCAATATGTGGCCCAGACAAAGAATATCCTAAAAGACTTCTAGAGTTAAAATGGGACTCTTTAGAACTGAGAAGGCAATACCTTAGCCTAGTTCAAATGTATAAGATTATATTTGGTTACTGTGATATCAATTGCTATCATTACTTTGATATTATTGGAATAACTCGAACTAGAAGTAAGCATGTGTATAAAATAAGGCCAAAAGTTGCTCGTACAAATTATTTTAAATATTCTTTGTTTAATAGATATATTAACGATTGGAACTGTTTGCCTTCTGAAGTGATGTCATCCCTTAGCTTTCAGTCTTTTAAAGTTTCACTAATTAAGTACCTCCGCTCATAATTACCCCAAAAACCAGTTTTTTTGTTTTGTTTTTTTGGAGGGTATGTCTTAGCATGGGAATTTAGTTTCCCCCTACTACCGTTCTGTCAACCATTTTTGTACTTTTGTGCGATGTATGGTTACGAACTGTGATTAAATATTAAAGTTGTCGACAGCGATGCGACCGTCTCGGAAACTCAGACTGGTATTTAATTTACTGTGTGATTTATTTGTATTTGACATGAAAATCAATAAAGCGAGGGTACAATCTAAAAGAATGCAACAGAAATTTTTTAAACTTGAGCTTCTGAGGGTGTTTTATATAAAATTATCAAAGGTGCAAGTGTGGAACTTGTCAACCAATGCCGACGACTCATGAAAGTGTTTGCTGTACGGAAATCGGGCAATTGTGGCAAAAAGTGGAGGAGCAAGGGCCTGAAACCCAGATAAGTTGTATCACTGAGCATCCAAGTTTTCAGTCAATTTGCCTCGATTTCTGAGTGCTGGAGACGGCAAATTACGCGTACAGGCAGCAGCAAGGTACAGATAATCACATCGGAAACGAGTAAGCTAAATGTTTTCTGTTTCATTTGTTTTGTTATATTTTGAGATCGATTTGCTTGAGTTGTTTCTGCCATTGATTTAATAATACAGTACTAGAGCTACTTGTTTTCGCTTCTTTCCTGGCAGGAAATTTCGTTAAATTGTCTTCAGATAGCTTGTTCGTTGGTGTTGGGGATATCTCGGCAAACACTTCAGGGTCGCTGTACCATCTTGTGCGGTAAACAATATCCGAAACATTTTTTCAGCGGATTTTGGATCGCCTTACACTAGATTAAAACCGCCAAACCTTTGAGCGAAACAAAGGTATATGTTAATGCAGATCTTAGTTATTTATGTCTTACAGCATTGGAGGTTGTGCTCGTTCTTTATGAGATATTTATGTATTGCTTTCCTTTATCTCCGAAGCATTTCCATCGATGAACAAGTTGTACCATGTATATTTCCTTATGTGGCCTTCATAATTATCCAACCCTGTTTGTGTTTGCTTCGATTTTAAATACTGAAAAGATAGTTTTGCAAGCTGAAATCAGGATCTTTTAAGTTGTACTCAAAATGATGAATATTGTCCTACTGACCTTTGAATGTATTTTCACTTCTGTGAAAACCGTGACGTCATTTGGAAATATTTCCATTGTATGCCCAGTTTTGTTTGAATCAGTACAAAACTGGACAACACAGCGCTTTACCATTATGAAAAAATTGAATATATTGAAGGAAACTGTAAGTAAAAAAATCATGACGAGACCGGCAAATAACGGCTGTGGAAAAGACTCCTTCGTGTCTCACGCGATTATAAAACGAGACTTTAGAGGTTTCACCCGTGACGTCACAGGAAAGATGGCGCCATTCAAGATGGCGAATGTTTCGAATTTGGAAGAGCTTTTACAAAGTGAAAATGGACTTTTGAGAAAAAACGAATGGAACCTTTCGTGTACTTGATATATTTACCAAACATCTATGTGAAAAGAAAATGAACGTTTTTTGGGTTTACATGCCCTTTAAGTCTTTGCCGTCTTCACTGTGCATGCTTTGAAAACGTGACCGCCTTTTCAGATCAAAACTAAATATGTGTGTGAATTTTTGCCTAGCAGTTAAAAAGGATCATACGGATGGGGTGGGGGGTGGGGAGAGGAGACAAGGGAAGGGGTTACTCAACATTCAAGTGTAAATTTTTCCTCTTTAAACAAAGAAGAATTCCTAATCATATTCTTCCAAACAAGGCCCCTTAGCTGGGTGACAACATATTGTTCATTTTATTTCTCTCTTATTTTTTTTTGAATGGTCTATTGTTCAGCAAAGGCTACACGATCGTGATTTAGCACGCAGGTCAGTTTTGAAACCAGTGATGTCCATTCTAAGGAATCATAATCGAACATATCTTAGCGTTTTCATGGAGTTCGTGAAGAGGTCCTCTCAGTTTCCGAGATATACTGTTCATTCCATGAAGCATAGAAATTTAATGAGCTTTTTCGCATGTGGATTTTGCAGATAGTCCTCAATTCACAAAGAATTTAAAAACCTCCTGAAATAAAATCCCGCGAATCAAGACGCAAAACCTTACTTCCGTAAGTCCATTAAAGAATTTTCAGTAGTTTTTAAGTAGCTAGTATTGCATTTGAAGGGTTTTTTTTAGTGTTTTGACCCAATAGAGTGTGCCGTAACTGAAGTTGTAAAGGATGATGGTTCTTTTACTTCCTAACTAATTTTTTGTGAACTTGAGAGGAAATTTGCAAAAAGGGTTTCCGTCCCGCAAACTTTTTTATCCCATAAAATAGGATGCCGATCAGCGCAAGTCAACGGAGTCGATTTTTTTGTGTAATTATGGAGTTGCGCTTGCAGAATATCTAATAGAGAGGTCATGAAGTTCTTTACATTTTGTTTGATGTTTTTCCTAAGTAAAAATCTTCTCCCATGAATTTTGCTTTTCATGATAATACTTTGTATATTGATTAAAATTGTTAGAATTAGTCATGGGTGACTATATTTGATACAGGGAATTTTTTCACAGATCACAAGTATTTCAACACATATCAGATTGTGCGCGCAGTTTTGTTATATATTTCCTTTTATTGCTCTTACGTCACCACGTGCAGGAGACCTCAGCTTATGGTTATTATTAGCATTTGATAGGCAGGCTGTTTACATATCAATGATCATTAATGGTTACTAATTTGTTGATTGTCACTAGTCTAGTTATTTCTACAAATAAATGATACTCACATTTTGACTTATGGATATTTATAAGAAACGAAATAATCCTAAAGGATGAATCGCAGTTGAGACAATTGCAGAAAAAGCTGAGACGAAAAGATCAGGCTATGATAGGATTGGAACCCATGCCCTTTAGGTACTTGTTTGGCGTTATCATCAATCGTCTCTGGGAGGCATGGATTCAAATTTTGTGGAAGCTTAAAGTTTTTTGGGATTCTCTTCTGGAATTTTTTCAGATTGCAGCTCATTATATTTTCAATCTAACGTTCCCAACTTTGATGATAAATCTCGATATTCTCTTGTAAGATATCAAATGGCTACTAAAATTTTTTTGGTCCTTTGTGAAGTTTACTACTCTAGACACGATTTAGTTTTGATTCACCAAAATCATCCTGAGATCATCTCTGTAGATGTAAGCTGCGCCAACAGGGAACTGGGGCGGTGAAGGTAAAGTAGCCAGGTAGCGGGCGTGCTGCACACGTAAGCTTCGATTGTGGCACCTGTAGCATGCGTAGGTCAACAAAAGGACTCCTAGCATACCGGTTCCTCCAATCACCGTGTAGATTACCGGTGATAATGTCTGGCTGAGAGTATCAACGTCATCGGGCAAACAGAACTCGTCAGACCAGTTGCCACTGGCAGCTCTTTCATTTGACACTTGGCCACTGCTTGATGTAAATTCTGTTAACACGAAATTGCAAAGTGTCTTAAAAAGTATCTCGACAGAATACAAGAATTGGAAGTTTTTCATCATCCTGACGGTTTAATTTTAAACAACTTGAAAAACAAAAAAACAAAACAGTGACGGAACAAAAAAAATGTATCGTAGCTTATCGTCATCAACCTTCCTACCACGAATGTGTAATGGCGGGGTAAGCTCGAGTCTCCTTAAAGATTGGGCTCTATTTCACAGTAGCTCTCTCCAACGAGGCCCTTAAGTAAATTACCGCTTAAAGCTATAAGCGCAGGACCAAATTTGTGTTCAGCGGATATCTACTCAAGAGGGGAGAAGCAGTCGGTGGCCTGAAGTTTTATACCTATGCGCAGATGTAATGGCGAAGAAAAGTGTATTTACAGGCTGTCACAACTAACTTTTCTGCCAGGAGTTATAAAAAACCACACGTCAAAAGTCGTACGGTTCTTGAACGAAGCTCTAACAAAGTGGTAAATTGACCTAGAGCAAATTGTTTTTAAATGAAATCTAATGCTGCTTTATTTTTCAGTTAAAAGCAAATCAAGTTTGTTGTTCTGTTTAGACAAAAAGAGGAAACATGATGCAAAAAGCTTTATTTTCCAGCTAGAATTTTCCAAACTCTGTGAGACGCGATTCCGCTTATCCTCACCAAAGTTGTCGAATAAAAAGCAACACAGAATAGAGTAAACTCATTTTATACTCTCTTTAAGTAAACTCTCTTTTCTTTGTTAAAGTTAAAGCTATTTATCAGTGTTATGAACCGAAAGTCATCAGCATTTGAACATTTTCTGTATCGTTATGGCGATTTTTAGAAGATAAAAATATTTCATATTTTACTCACCTTCTCCCGCAGATTCATTGACGAACAGAAAGGTAAGGCCAAAAACAAGCCTGACAATAACTATCCCAACTGCGAGAATTACCGATTTTCTCGCTAACATACTCCTTATAATGAACTTAACAAGACTCTTTCCTTGGAGATGAAGAAAAATTGTGACGAAATTAGATAAATGTCTTCTTCGAATCAATAACTCCCCCAAAAGATATTTTAAGTGCTGTTTTATAATCACTTGATTGTCATCTCGCTAAAATGTTCGGGTAAGTTTTCTGTTTGCTTTGTTTTAAAATAATGAAGTTCGCTGAAATCTTAGACTGGGGTTGTTGCAGCTGGTTACATAATGTTCACTGCACTCAAAAATCGGTTCGAGATTGATTGGCACACCGTCCAAGCAAAAAAAAAATAATAATAATAAAAAAAAAACTTAACGAATTTTAACCATGTCCGGTTGTGTTAGATTTTAAAGTCAGTTAGCATTTCGCAATGCCATTAGTAGGAAAATCATTTAATGCGCAAAAAATGGAGCAGGTACATGCGTAGGATGCGTTCCAGTTTACTTTGCGAACGTCATATTTCGCGCGCTTTTCCGCTCGTTTTCTCTGACTGAGAGCCTAGAA